TGAGTTGAGTTGAGTTCCTTTCAGTTCCGTGTCGACCTGAGCCTGCATTAAAAGAGAACTAGCAAAATGATATTTTGTTCTAGAGAGGTTTTTGATATGCCATTAATAATAGAATCAACCTTAAAATCGTTTTTTTGGCTTTTTTTAATGAAGTTATAGGCGATTATATACGATTTTACCATGACGTCACTGGCGAAAAGTAACAAAAGATCGTGTAAATAGCGCCGCGTAGGGTATCCGCCGCGTACGATGACTTATTCTTTGTTTTAAAAAATATAGGCCTTTCAGTTGCTCAAAGTCGACATGAGATTAGTTTCGTTGAGTTGCGCAGAGCGCTCATGCCGACGAGTTAAGTTGAGTTGAGTTGAGTTCCTTTCAGTTCCGTGTCGACCTGAGCCTGCATTAAAAGAGAACTAGCAAAATGATTTTTTGTTCTAGAGAGGTTTTTGATATGCCATTAATAATAGAATCAACCTTAAAATCGTTTTTTGGCTATTTTTTTTTTAATAGTATAGGTGATTATATACGATTTTAACATGACGTCACTGGCGAAAAGGGTAGCCGCCGCCTACGATCTTTGCGTGCATGCTGTAACAATCACAATTTACAGCCATGGTTACAGCATACACGCAAAGATCGTACGCGGCGGATACCCTACGCGGCGCTATTTACACGATCTTTTGTTACTTTTATTAATAGTCCACCAGAAATACGGATTTGAAGCACCGAAGTTGGACATAATTGCAACAAAACGTTTTTTTATGAATATATATAGTTAAATTTTATATCTACAACATACAAAAAGTTTACCAAAATATACCCACGGGAAAGGTGATTTTTATAGCAAAGAAAACTGAACTATTTCACTGGGCTTAAAAAACACCTTTATGTACGTCCTATTTTGGTAAACTTTTAGTATGTTGTTTTACATATAATTAAGTTTATATTTAGGCCATAAAACGTTTTGTTGCAATTTTGTCCAGTCAAATCCGTATTTCCGGTGGACTATAACAACTTTTATATTCTCGATCTTCAGATGTAGTATGGTCGTAGATATGGCAAACTTTTTTTGTACCTTGTTTAGCGGACATCTCGCCCTCTAAAATGATGATTCGAATAAAACAAATTTATATTTGGCCAATTAGCACACTCACCGCCACGAAATATGGAAATTTCAGAAGGAAAAAATGTTGCTTTATTTTTATTTTTTGGGCCTACCATGTCGTTTAATACGACAAATAATAAATTTAAAGTGTTAAAAATGATGTATATCGCAGGATAAAAGATGGAAATGGAAAACAGATAGGAAAATTCATAACTGTGAGTGAGGGGACACAATCTTATAAATATTTGCTCTATATTTGGGGTTTACATTTCTTCTAATAAAAAAAAAATACAAAAGCAAAAAAAAAAGAACAAAGTCATTCTAATCTAAAAGAACAATTGGATTGCACACTGTCGAAAAAAATATATGATCATGCTAAGGTCTGCTAAGATAAGCTTATCCGACTTTAAAGTTCCCCCTCCCGCCCGTTCATTTTTTTTTTATCTAGTGATGCTAAATCAATAGAGAAACGTTGGTCCCTGAAAAAGGTCACGAGAGCCCGGATTTTCACTACAAAATAAGAAAGAAAGGGGGAAAGAAAAAGGTAAAAGGAAAAGAAATGAAAATCGTAAGACAGAAAATGAATGGAAAGGAAGCATAAGAAAGAAAAGGAGAGACTAAAACAGAAAATGAAACATAGAAATAAAAGGAAACATAAGAAAGGGAAAAAAAGAAGAAAAAGAAACATAAGAAAGAATAGGAAAAAGATAAGGAAACATATGACAAAAAAGGAAAGTGTAAGAAAGAGAAAGAAAAGAAAAGGAAATATCGAAAGACATTGGTATAACTGTGGTTAAAAAATGAGAAGGTAAAGTAATAAAATGATGAGTCTTGTTACATTTTCTTCCTGTGATTTGTATCTTGTTTTTTTTTTTTTCCTCTACTGCTTGTTTCACACTGCCCAGCACGTATTTAGGTGGAGATGTCTGCGCTTTACAAATCTTTATTATTATTATTATTATTATTATTATTATTATTATTATTATTATTATTATTATTATTATTATTATTATTATTAATAGGCATTATTAAAAACACTATATTCAAGCTTAAAAAAATTATTTCACTTTTGTATTAGTAATATTGCGACTACACTATTGTGAGTGGAAATAATATCAGTCTATTGTCAAATAAAGTGAAATCACCTCGATCTGACAAAATAACGTAAAATTATCCGCCATACATATTGACATCTTCTTGCAACTTTATCGTTCAAGAGCGAGAACAGCTTAGTGAAAGTGTTTCACACTGACATTAGCTGTTTTTAGGTCATTTTTTGTCTTTCTACAGTCATATCTAGCAAATACTTGTCGAATTTTTGTATTCCCTTCTGCATTTGGAAGGCAATTCTTTTCTGATTACTTTAGTATTTGTTTCAATTGTATTGCTTGAAAAGTCACCGTCATTTTTCACTTTTCTATTGGTGCTATGCTGACCGCCCACCGCGCGTAGAGGCTGCATTTTGACCTCTTTCTAGTGACTTCGTTTAAATTACCATTTCGGCTGTCCACCAATCAAATATCGTGTTGTTCATTCCCCCAAGTAAACGGAAAGCTGAATATTCATAGATTCTTCACATATACAATATATAAATTGCAATTGGATGAAAAAAATCACCATCAAAACACTAATTTCAATATGATTGAACAATCATGTCTAGGCATTATGCCCGCAAAAATGCGAAGCTTTGGTATAGCCTTCCGCCGCCATTTCGGCTGTACACCAATCAAATATCTTGTTGTTCATTCCCCAGTAAACGGAAAGCTGAATATTCATAGGTTCTTCTTATATAAAATATATTTATTTATTTAAACAATATTCTGTGAGGGTGGTCCATCCAGCCTGAGCTGATCAATTGGGACCCTCAGTACATACAATTAGAACATAAGTATAAAAATTAAACTTGATCTTTAACATAAACAAATAAATTAAATTAAAAGAGAATATGAATTGACATTGGATGAAAAAAAAAATCACCATCAAAACACTAATTTCAATATGAATGAACAATCCTGTCTAGGCATTATGCCCGAAAAAATGCGAAGCTTTGGTATAGGCCTCCGCCATTGTAAGAGGTCTGGGAGCCCTGGCCTTAACAAAAAAATAAAAATAAAATAAAATAAAAATAAATTAACAAATTGGTTCGTGTGGGAATCGAACATACAAACTCCAGCTTTGCTATTCATTATCCACCACACCATTAACTAAACCGCCTTAAAAAAATGGTTTGTGTGAGAATCGAACACACAACCTCCAGTTTTCTTGGAGCACGGCCCATTTTTGACACCATGATCATGCGTAATATTAACCTGCAGTGTATATATACGATGATTTTTTTTCTAGTAGGAACAGAGTTGACTAACTGGTACTTGGTGTGGTACTAGGTTTATCGCATTTATGGCTTAGGGGTCGCGGTTTACCTCCCTCTGTTTAGTCATGCTAGATCAGGGGTAATAAACTCGGCGATCGTGGGTTCGATTCCCACATGGGGCAAGTTTTTTTTTTTAAATTTTTAAATTTTTTAATTTTAAGGTCACACGAGCCAGTTTTTTTTTTTAAGGCGGTTTAGTTGATGGCGTGATGGTGGATAATGAATAGAGATGGAGGTTGTGTGTTCGATTCCCACACGAACCAATTTTTTTCCCTTTAAGGCAGTTTAGTTGATGGTGGATAATGAATGTATTGTACTCGTTGATGACGTCGCGAAATAACAACAAACAACAACGTGTCATGTCCGAGCCTAGGCCGTCATGGAAGCTCACTGGCTCCTGTGTAATTCATGTTGAGCCAACTGCAGACGAAAACGTTACAATCTTTTCAGAGATAAGATGGAAGAAAGTTTCAGACAGTGCCCATCAATGGAAGGATTTTAATACTGAGGAATGGAAGTTAGCGAAGTCCTTGGCTTGCTTAACCGTTTTTCTTCGATCGTCGCTTCCAACCGTCTAGGCGCGTCTAGCCTAAAGAGGGCCTACATAGCAGGGCGAGATCCATGAAAAGTCGTATAAAGATGTGGGTTACCCACATCTTTATATTTGCACAAGTAATTAGAATTGTTTATTGAGCAGGTTAATAAAGAATTGTACTACATTTGGCTGATGCATATGAACTTCTATGTAGAGACATAATTTCATTATTTTCTTTCCAAAAATCTTAATAAACGTTAACTAGCACCTCATATCGACTTTTGAATGGTGAAAATCGGCTCAGTATAACCCATTTTACCGATTACAAATTTTAAGTTAATAGAACATACTGCTGTTACATCTTCTAGTTTTCCCCCCACCGTTGTATTTAGGTACACGCTACAGTACACACAATGAGCCTACAACTTATGGAACGCCGAAAGGACAAATTACAAGTGGCGCAGTGCAAAAGTCAAGTGGCACAGTGCAAAACTAAATTGGCACAGTGGAAAACTAAAGTGGCGCAGTGCAAAACAAAAGTGGCGCAGTGCAAATCCAAATGCGTGTGCTGCTACTTGACTTCTGCACTGTGTTGATAGTGTAATAAATAAGGCCCTCTATAGGCAAGTAATATGATAAGTCTATAGTGTGGTATGGGCGTTGTCCACAAAGAACAGAGGACTTACAACTTTGGAGTAGTGAAGACCAATAAATTTAGAAGCTCATTAGATGTAGTATTGTGTATTGATTATTGTCATACAACAAGCAACACATGGTGTCAGAAGAAACCCAGTGAAGCTAGTTTCATATGTAAATGTTGATCTTGCTACAGGTACAGTAGCTGCATTAAATTGTGGTGAATGGTTTGCCCTATCTTGTCTTGATTTTAAATATTTACTTTGTATACTAGCAGGAGCCAAGTTTTGTTGCTTCAACTACTATTTTTCCGATTTTGTTAGTGTAAGTAGCTTTTCATACTTTTTAATATCATGGCTGAGAGTGAGAATCCTAGTATGAACTGGGCCAGTCCTGATTTCGTTAAGGAGTTCAATAGGTTTAGACAACACTGTCAGTTTACTTTTGATGGTCCTCTCGCAGCTAAAACTGAGCTGGAAAAAGTAAACTACCTAATGACATATATAGGTGATAGGGGCAGGAAAATATTTTCCACATTCCAATGGACCCCAGGTACACCAGCAGCAGGGGGAAACCCAGCTGTACCAGCTGAAAACGAGATCCTTTCGGGTGTTTTGAGCAAGTTTGAAACCTATGTGGCTCCGAAGAGAAATGTAATTAAAGCTACTTTAGAATTTAACAAAAGATCTCAGGGTACAACTGAGTCTTTTAGTACATTTTTGACTGATCTAAGAGTGTTAGTAAAACGGTGTGATTACCAAGATGAAGAAAGAATGTTAAGAGATGCTATAATTTTAAGAAAAAGAGACCAAAAAGTTCGAGAAAAGTGTCTCGACTTGGGGGATGAACTTACCCTGGATAAAGCTATAAATTTAGCACTAAATTATGAAACCTCCCAGGCCAGTTTAGTTGCTATGGATCGATCGGAATCTGTAAGCGCAATAAACAAAGGGAGACGAATAGTAAAAGGTCAACCTAAGGGTCAACAGGGCCAGAGTAGACAACTGAAGTGCGGCAGGTGTGGGACTAATCACCAATATGAATCATGTCCAGCCTATGGTACAATATGCTCAAAGTGTAAAGGTAGAAACCACTGGGCCAGTTATTGTAGAAGTAGGCCTAGGTCAAGTTTTAAAAGCAGAGCAACTAAAGGAAGTAAAAAAGTAAACGAATTACTACAATCTGACTCAGATGAGGATGAATTCCTAGTTGATGTAAACATTTTAAGTCTTAATAGCAGTAAGACAAAGTGGATTGTGCCTATTAAATTTCAAACTTGACACAGGTGCTCAAGTCAATATTCTCCCTAATGTAACATACAGAAAGCTACAGAAACACCTCCTATAGTACATACTGATGTTAAGCTAAGGGGATATTCTGGTGCAACTATACCCGTTGTAGGTATGTGCAAAGCGAATGTTGTATATAAGGATGCATCTCAGTTGCTAACATTTCTTGTAACTGCAGAAAATGATAATAAATATCAGCCAGTGCTTTGTCTAAATGCTTGTCAAAAGTTAAATTTGATTAAAGCAACTTGGAATATTCAAGTTGATTCACTAAATGTAAATAACATTGTAAATAAGTACAAAATTGTTTTTCAAGGTCTTGGCTGTATGCCAATGAAGCATAACATTCACATTGATAAGTCTGTTACTCCAGTCCAAAATGCGTGCAGAAAAGTGCCGTTTAAATTGAGAGACAAAGTAGAGAAGGAGTTGAAACGTATGACAGACTTGGGAGTTATTGAAAAAATAACCCAGCCAACGGAATGGGTTAATAATATGGTAACCGTAGCAAAGAAAAATGGGGATATACGACTCTGCCTAGATCCCCGAGATTTGAACAATGCAATTCAACGTGAGCACTTCAAGTTACCATCAAGAGAGGACATAATGGCTGAGTTTGCTAATGCGAAAATATTCAGCAAATTAGATGCTGCTTCAGGTTTTTGGCAGATACCTCTTGATGATAAAAGAGCAAAATTGACATGCTTCATTACACCATTTGGACGTTACATCTACAAAAGGCTGCCATTTGGATTAAACATGGCCCCAGAAGCCTATCATAAAAGAATCCATGAACTTTTCGAATGTATCCCTGGAGTTAATACAATGATGAATGACATCATAGTATGGGGTACGACCCGAGAAGAACATGATGCTAGACTAGAGCGGGTGCTAATAACCGCAGTTAAAAGTAACCTTAAACTCAAAAAAAAAAATGTGAGTTTGGAGTAGACAAACTTGTATTTCTGGGCGACCTAATTACATCTGCTGGAATCAAGCCTGATCCTAGAAAAGTGAGTGCCATTGAAAACATGCCTAGACCAGAAAATAAACAAGAATTACAGAGATTCCTAGGAATGGTAACATTCCGTGCAAAGTTTGTTCCAGATCTTTCAAGCATCACTGCACCACTACGAAACCTGACAAAAGATCAAAATGAATGGATGTGGGAAGAATCACAAGAGAATGCCTGGATATAGGTGAAGCATATGCTTACGACCAGTCCAGTATTGAAGTTTTATGATCCCAATCGTCAATGTAAAATTTCGGCTGATGCATCAAAAGATGGCATAGGTGCTGTCCTACTTCAGAAACAAACCAATGATGCATGGGCACCAATCGCGTATGCCTCTCGAGCAATGATATCGGCCGAGACTCGATATGCTCAGTTAGAGAAAGAGTGTCTGGCATTAACATTTGCCTGTGAAAGATTTCATCAATTCCTGTTCGGGCAAAGCGTGATTGTAGAGACAGATCATAAACCCCTGGTTTCAATATTCAAAAAACCTCTAGCTGATGCAAAGCAAAAGCAAAACTTCGCTTGCAAAGGATGAGAATCCGATTGCAGAAATACGATATAGCTATTGTATATACCCCAGGCAAGGACCTGTGGGCAGCTGACGCATTATCAAGAGCTGTTGACGGAACTAGACCCGTTGCGACAGAGCAGCAGTTTGAAGAAGATATAGAAGCGTATGTTGACATGCTACATAGCTCACTACCTGTGGTAACAGCACAGATGATAAATATCAAATCTGCTTCTGATGCAGATGACACGATAATTCAACTGCGACAGATAATCAAAGATGAATGGCCAGAAAAGAGACACAAGTGTCCGCAAAAAGTGCGAAACTTCTTCAACTACAGGGATGAACTATCAGTAGTTGATAACATGGTTCTTAAAGGACATAGAATTGTTATACCAGACCAATTGAGAGTACAGATGCTTCAGCAGCTGCACAAAGGTCATATGGGAATGGAAAATGCAAAAGAAGGGCAAAATAAGTAATGTTCTGGCCAAATATAAATAAAGATATAGAAACAACGGTTTTGAAATGTGAAACTTGCCAGAAATACAAACCACGGCAACAATCAGAACCATTGATACAATGTCCAGTATCAGAGATACCCTGGACGAAAGTGAGCGCTGACCTGTTTGAGCTGAATGGGAAAGAATATGTTACAATTGTTGATTACTATTCCCAATACATAGAGATTTGCCAGCTCAACAAAATCACCTCAAATTCAGTGATAACAGCTTTGAAGTCAATATTTTCAAGACATGAAACCCCAGTGGAGCTATTTACCGATAACTTGTCCGCAGTTTACAAGTGGTGAATTCAAAAACTTTACCAATAAATGGAACTTTAAACATGTAACTTCGAGTCCCCATTACCCTCAATCTAATGAAAAAATATGAAAACCTTGCTAAAAGAAAGTCACTGAAAGCAAGCAGGATTTCTATGAAGCACTACAAGTGTACAGATCTACTCCTTTAGAGCACGGAGTTTCACCTGCTGAACTCCTATTTAATCGAAAAATAAGGTCAAATGTACCTATTATGACCGAAATGTTAAAGCCTGCTAATAAAGACATAAAACAGGCTAAAGAAAAGTTAAAGCAAAGACAAAAGTATAACTACGATAAGAAAAGCAAACAATTGCCACCACTTAAAGTGGGGGAAAAAGTAAGAGTACAAGATTTTAGAGACAATAATTGTCTGTGGGACAAAACCGGCTATGTTGTTAAGATTTTACCATGTAGATCATATCTAGTTAACATAGACCAGACTGGTGAGGCCTTACGACGTAACCGAAGACATGTGTTGAAAGTAATATCTGATGAGACAGACGATGACGACGACAACGATGATGATGAACCACCAGTAACTAAGACTAAACCCCAGCGACCTCAAAGACAAAGACAACGACCAAGATACTTGGATGACTATGAGACTTAAACTTAATTACCATCACTAACAAATTATATACCAATAACTGATTGGAAGAGAACAGTTCCTATGATATTCAGTTTTTTAATGAATTTTGTAGTTTAGAATATTCCATACATATACCTTTTATAGTAGTAGAATTAACTTTGTGCTAGGAATGGTTTTACAATCTAAAGGGGAAGGATGTGTTGATAGTGTAATAAATAAGGCCCTCTATAGGCAAGTAAATGATAAGTCTATAGTGTGGTATGGGCATTGTCCACAAAGAACAGAGGACTTATAACTTTGGAGTAGTGAAGACCAATAAATGTAGAAGCTCATTAGATGTAGTATTGTGTATTGATTATTGTCATACAACAAACAACACATGCGCCACTTGACTTTTGCACTGCGCCACTTGACTTTCGGCGATATTGTATGGAACGCCAATTTTGGCATCAAAATTAAACTAAATAAAATAAATGAATAAAAAAATCAAGAACACATAATTAAATTTTTCTTAATAATTTCACAGCAAAATAACAACAGCACAAAAATTTGGGACTAAAACACAAATAGGAACGTTATGATCATAGGCATACTTGTCGTAGATACCGTAGCCTAGGCTTATCTATTCTATTCATCGTTACTAGTCGTGCGCTAGTCCAGTAGCTGCACGTAGCATGTTGTTGCTCCTGAGTGATTTAAAAACATAAAAGCTTCCGATATTTATATTGACCTTTTTAAACTGCTATACTCGCCTTTAAAATGCAGTCCTACATTCTGACTCTGGTCGTCATATCAACGATATTTTTACGCTTTGTAAATTCACCTGAACCTGAAGCTTGTCTACCCCTATCGTACTCTAGCGATGAGCTGCTTCGCCTTCGGCCAGGAGCTGCCGGCATTCCGCCGAGCGATGACGTCAAGAACCTATGCATCAGCCAAGGCTGCTGGCGGAAAACTCATCGGGGTCGAAGGGCGGGAAAGCGAGTACACAAACATTCCAACAGGTGTGCAGGTGCGAAGACACGGAATTCGCTCTCTGTGTGTTTGATGAATGCGAGATCTATTCGTAACAAGGCCGGTGAAATATCCGATTTTGTGGAGGAACATAGGTACGACGCCGTAATTATATGCGAGACTTGGCTTTATTGTGATGAAAAAGTAATTGAAACCGCTGTTACACCTAAGGGTTACTCGTTTATCCATACTGCAAGGAAAGGTAAGCGAGGAGGCGGAGTCTGAGTACTGTTTAAGTCAAATCTAGGATTTGAGCTTGTTGAGAAACAAACTCAGTCATATGAAAGCTGTGAAGTATTGTCGAAGGCATTGGCCGTAAGATTCATTGCAATATACCGACCCCCATCATCTAATACTAACAGTTTCATTAATGAATTTGCGTCATCTTTGGATTATTATTTACACTCCAGAAGATCGACAATATATCTCAGTGATTTTAACGTTCATTTATTGGACCCTCATGATGTCACGGCTTGTCAAGTAAAAGATATTTTGAATGCCTACAATCTTGTGCAACATATAGACAAACCGACTCATAAATTAGGCAATCTGCTTGATTTATTATTAACTGATAGTCACACCACGATTCATGATGTTAATGACCTTGGTTTCTTGTTTAGTGATCATTAAGTTATTGAGTTTAATGTTCTTGTTAATGCATCAGTACCTACTTCGAAGTTAGCACCTGATAACCGCATTAAATGTCGTAGCATTAAGAATATTGATATTGTTAAGCTCAATGATTGTGTTAGTGCTATGGGTACTAGCATAGTTAATGATGCTTTGTCACTGTCTGTAAATGACTTTACGTCATTAATGCATACTAATCTGTGTTCAATGCTAAATGATCTTGCCCCGATTAAGGACATTTTTGTTAGGAATAAAAACAATAATAAACCATGGTACTCCAATCACCTCAGAGAAAGTAAGAGATCTCTGCGTCGGCTTGAACGTCGATGGCGTAACACCAAATTAGATTATGATAAAGTATTATATATTACACAACTTAAGGTATTTAACAAAAAAACTAAAAGACACAAAAAACAGTTACATCACAAGTAAGATTAATGATTGTTCGGGAAATCAGAAAAAGTTGTTTAATTTTGTAAACAAACTAATAAAGGGCATCCCTAAAATTTGTTTTCCCTCTCATGAAAACCTCTCTCAGCTTGCGGAACAATTTTCAAAATTCTTTCATGATAAAATCATGAATATTCGTTTTCGTTTATCACAATTGCAGCTTTCTCCATTGTCTCATCCATCAAATGTTTCAATTGTAACTGCGCCACTGGAGTCACTGCACACTAACAATGCTTAAATGTTTTCTTCATTTGACACTGTTGACCATAATGCCATTGAGAAGTTAATTTTGTCCTCGTCATCGGCTACTTGTTCATTAGATCCCATCCCTACCAAACTTCTTAAATCTTGCAGAGCCAGTATTGCTCCAGCCATTGCTTCTTTAATCAATAAATCTCTTGAAACCGGCTCTTTTCCGGATAATCTTAAAAGTGCTGTAGTCACCCCTATTTTGAAGAAACCGTCTCTTGATCCCCAACAATTCCAGCATTTTAGGCCAATTTCTAATCTTCCTTATCTCGCCAAACTTATTGAAAAAGTTGTTTCCTTACAGTTAATCTCATATCTTACTCAATTTAATTTGTTTGACCCCTTTCAATCGGCATATAAGACTGGTCATAGTACTGAAACTGCCCTTGCTAAAATACACAATGACATTACTGTTGCTCTATATAGGAAACGGGTCGTTGCCCTTATACTCTTGGATCTTTCAGCGGCTTTCGACACTGTTGACCACAATATCCTACTTCACAGATTATCCTCACAGTTCTTCATTTCTGGTACGGCTCTAAACTGGTTTGCATCATATCTAATTAACCGAACTCAATCTGTAGAAATAAACAAAATTAGATCTGATCCCCAAATTATTGAATATGGAGTTCCACAAGGCTCAATTCTTGGCCCCCTTCTTTTTTCCCTTTACATATCCCCTCTATCCGAAATTATCAAGTCCCATAACCTTTATTATCACATTATTTTATGCTGATGATATCCAAATTTATAATGATTTTGATCCCTCTGACTCTGATTTCATTCAAACACGTCCCGAAACCTGCCTCCACGACATCCACAGTTGGCTGTCCAATAACATGCTTATGCTAAACGAAAATAAAACTGAATTCATCATCTTCGGCACTAATAAATCTTGCTCAATAATTAACATCAACTCACTCCATATTTTGGCTCATCTATCATTAAAACTTCCTCTACCATTTCCAACCTTGGCGTCACATTTGATGACAAGCTTTCCATGCAAAATTACATTGGTAAACTCATAAAATCTGTAAACTTTCATCTACGTAATATAGCACTTATCAGAAAATACTTATCAAAACGAACTACGGCTCTGATTATTCACGCTTTCATTTTCTCCCGACTTCACTATTGCAACTCTCTTTTATTTAACATTCCTAAAATCCAAATTAACAGGCTTCAACGACTACAAAACTCTGCTGCACGCATACTAACATTTACTAACAGACGCACTCATATAACCCCCATTTTACGTGAACTTCATTGGTTACAAATTGATGCCACAATTCAATATAAAATCCTTTTTCTGACTTATAAGTCACTGACTCTCAATCAACCCGCATACATTAATCAACTTCTTCCCAAATATGTGCCTGGCCGTTCCCTACGTTCATCTGATCTTAATTTAATTTCTGTCCCTCGCACCAACACTAAGACCTTCGGACACAGATCATTTTCATTTGCTGCAGCCACTCTCTGGAACGCACTACCACTTCACATTAAAAAATCAGCATCAATTCCTTTATTTAAAAAATCACTCAAAACGCACTTATTCCAACAATAACATGAAGCGCCACTGATAATTACTTCGGTTTTTTAAATGGCGCTATATAAGTTCTTACTTTATTATTATTATTATTATTATTATTATTATTATTATTATTATTATTATTATTATTATTATTACCGCTAATAAAGGCCTATAGCACAGTTGTCAGCCATGGCTACTAGAGGCAGATTAGAAGCTTTGGTAGTGATGGGTTATACAAATAAACAAATTGCTGAAGAAATGGAGGTAAGCGTAAGCACCATAAAAAGCCTCCGGCGTAATTTCCGATTAAGAAAGAGTGACCTTTCGAGTGATATAAGGGGTAAGTTTGAAAAAAAAAAAATCTGTTGCGTTTTGTTTCTACATCAGTGCTAGGCTAGTCGGGGTAGACTACTTATAGTTAGGCTATGCTAGGGTCAACCGACGGGGTAGCTAGTTAGGAAGATCGATTCAATAACATGCATTTTTCACATTGTATTATTACAGCTCAGATTGACATTTTCAGCATTTAAATTTATTAATTAGACCAATAACAGGCCTATATACAATAATAATTTTTTTGGCAAATCAAAAAATTAAAGGACACAGAATTGTTTTTTGACTCAAGTAGATTTCTTCCTCTTTTTCCTGTTTACATTTTGAAAGAATGTAAAATATACGGTTTTAAAGATTTTTTTAAACATTTTTCATAAATACAACTTCAATATTTAAATGAATATGATATTAATTTTATTGTGGTCTTAGTATGCGACAGCGATTTCTGATATTTATATATTGAAAAATAAATACTGTTTAGGCATTTTAATTATTCATATTACTGTGGCCTTTAATAATAATATAATGATAATAATTATAATGATAATAATAATAAATAATAATAATAATAATAATAATAATAATAATAATAGTTCATTCTTATGT